ACATCCAGGGATCAGGTCCCTGTCTTGTTCCTCTTTTCTCTTTATTTGCAACAGTTCACACTTGTTGGAGTTCAGGCTGAACTCCGTTCATTTGAAATATGTACCAAGTGTGCCAGGTTCCCTATCTGGTTCTTGACAGTAAGTTTGTTAGATCATCAAAACATAAAGCAAAAACATTTAAAACCCATTAAATCTCTTGCTCAGTTGTTGCCCCTTCTTTTCAAACACGAGTTCCTCATGCGAACGCGATGCTTACCTATATTGAGCCTACGTGAAAGCAGTAGAAAACACATGAACACGACTGCAAAATACATGCCGTCCCCCCAACCGGCTTTCCTCTACGTGAATGTGACTCACAGGTCGCGAATGCGGAGGCCACTGTCCTCCATGCTCTGCGAACGCGGCCACCCCATCGCGAACGCGAAGAGAAAATATCACCAGCCACCAAAATACTCTCCGTGATCGCGATAGCACTTCCGTGATCGAGATGAACACTAGAAAATTAGTAACTCCAAACATGAGAGAAATGGTCTGAAACACCCCCTGTGGCCCGTGGAACCCCGTCCAATCACACCAACTAATCCCAAAATATAACACGGACCTACTGAATGCCTCAACTCACATTAAAATAAATCAAAACCACGAATCACACGTCAATTCAAACTTAATAAGCTAATCCAAAATTTCAAATTCCCAGCTTACGTTGAACAAGCCTAAAAAACGCGGAATGACCTCAAATTTTACATAAGTCATAAATCGCCATATAAACCTACTCCAATGCTCAGAATTCCAAACGGACATGGATAACCACAAAGTCAACTATGGGTCAAACCTATGAACTTCTAAACCTACAAATTGCCAACTTTCACCAATTAGAGCCAAATCAACCTAGGAACCTCCAAATCCAAATTCGCACATACGCCTAAGTCCAAAATCACCATTCAGACCTAATAGAACTATTAAAACTCCGATCAGAGGTCAAATACACAAAAATCAAACTTGGCCAACACTTCCAACTTAAGCTTCCAAACTAGGAACTAAAGGTTCCAATTCGATCCAAACCTCCCCGTAACCAAACCAACCATCCCTGCAAGTCACACAATAACAAATACACATACAGAGAGTATTAAATAGGAGAACAGATCTCAAATACATAAAATGATTGGCCGGATCGTTACACTTCCACAGAGCATAAATACACAACCAATCATAAAGTCACCCAATCCGGCTAAGCAGAGAAGAATAGGACATGAAACGAGTAGAAGTATATGGCAAGTAAAAACAGGTAGAGGCATTTAATATGTAAAATCATGTAACAAGTAGAGGCATGTAGAAAGTAAAGACATATAGTAAGTTAAAGTAAATAGTAAGTGAAGGCATGTAACATGTTAAGTCATTTAACAAGTGAATCACGTAACAAATAAGGGTATCTAACATGTAAAGGCTAGTAACAAGTAAATGCTTGAATTAGGTAAGGACATGTAGCAGTAGTAAATCAAGAAAAAGCGTAGATATAATTGTAATTGATAAGGTAGGACATAGATAGGATAGTAACAGCCCAAATAGGAAATTAAATATAGAGGTAAACTACATAAGGAACACAAACGTGAAAGTGACATACAAAACAGAAAACATAGATGGGAACCAAGGTAGAATGCATGTATGTGTCTAATGAACGAGTAATCATAAGAGAAATCCATCTTTCTATATTTTCGCACGGGAATGACCAACAGGCCAATCTTATTTCAAACCGCACAGAAATACTCATCGTGCCAACATCATATCAACAACTTGAAAATATTCACCGTGCCAGATATTGCCCTAAGGCCCCAATAATCATCTCTTATTACAGATAAAGAAACTCAAGTAACATAAAAATAACAGGTATAGATGTGTGTTAATGATTCTATGGCCAAGTTAAGTACGTAAAACATCTCAAAAATAGCTCATTAAATCCCTTTAAGATGTCATATGTTCTAACATGATTTTTAACACAGATAATTAAACTCATTAGTCGTGGAATCAAATGAAGCATAAGTCAAAGGATCACTAGGTTCAACAAGGCACAAAGAAGCATATAATCCCCCTACCCCCCCCCCCCCTCCCCGAGCATGGAATCCTGGCACATGTATATATGCTCGTCACCTCGTATATGCATCACCCCCGCATGTAGCAAATAATATTATTTATTAGGAAAAATTCTCTCAACAAAGCCAGGCAATACATCTACCTCTTTTCCAAACAAGGCCAACAATCCAATATGGCTTTTCCTTTAGAACAAGTCTCGAAACCACCTGTATTCAGTCAATTATTGTTCAAACAAATCAAAATAAGCTTTAGAAAATACCCCCGTACGATAAAGGTTCAATCTTTAATATAACTGAAAGTCAACAAAAAGTCAACTCGGGTTCACGTGGTCAAAATTCGAAGTTAAGACTAAATTCCGATTACCTATTCACCCCGAGCCCGAAAATCGTGTCTATGGAGTCTAGGTATCAAAATTGTGTAAAATGAGCTAAGTCTCGAAATCCCTACATTTTACCCAGCTGCAAGTATCGCAATTGTGAAGCCTTATTCGCAATTGTGACGACTGCAAATGTGTACCACTAATCGCAAATGTGATCAGTGCCTGAGCACTTATGTTGTCGCAAATGCGACAATGTGATCGCAAATGTGAAAAAGGGACCATTGTAAATGCAGAATTGGCTTCGCAAAAGCGATGCTGTCCCATGTTCTCCAGAGTCGCAAATGCAACTTACCAATCGCAATTGCAAAAGCCACCCCATCGAAAAAGCGAACCTGACTCCGCAAATCTGAAGCTTCCCAGTCCCCTCCAACAGCGCAAATACGAGCATGATCTCGCAAATGCGAGGCTCGCATTTGCAAACACAAACTCGCAAATGCGAGATTTTGCAGATCAACAACAACAACAACAACAAAACGATCATGCCAAATCAGTCTGCAACCTATCTGAAACTCACCCCAGCCCCTCGGTCTCCAATCCGAACATCCACACAAGTGTAATAACATCATACAAATTCGTTCGCAAGCTCAAATCATTAAAACACATTGAAAATCAAAAATCGATCATTAAAACTCAAAAAATTTTAAAGTTAAACTCAATTTTCCAACTTTTCACATAAAGAGTTGAAATATCCTCGGCCACCCGGGACTACAACCAAACATGCGTACAAGTCCAAAAGTATCATACGAACCTACCAGAATAGTCAAAATACCGATCTGAGGTCGTTTACAAAAAACATTGATCGTGGTCAACTCTAACTATTTTTAAAGTCAAAAATCACATTTTATTTAAAGATTCACATTTAAATTTTTTGAAAATCAATACGGAACACGCACACAAGTCATAAATCATTAAATAGAGCTATGAAAAGTCTCAAAATATAAAAAAAGTAGCTAGTACTCAAAACGACCGGTCGGATTGTTACAATTTAATGTCAAAAACTATAAAATATTGAGTACTTTATGTTGAAATTATGGATCAAACTTTCTGCAATTTCAGAAAATGTTCTAATTAAGGAAATTACTATGCACCCATTATCGATGTCCTTAACAGAAATGTTTGCCTCTCAGCTTAGAAATCATGTTGTTCCGAAACACTACATGAATTCAAGTTATATGGAATGAGATAGAATAAGATTCATTTTATCTAAACTGCTCTTAAGCTGCAAACATTATCTAAACGGTATTTTTTTTTTAACAACAGCAAATGAAGGGTAATTTTCCATTACTTGCTACACTTGGGAAAACCCCACCAATCTTACTGTACGGTGTGTGTATATATATATATATATATATATATATATATATATATATATATATATATATATATACTCTCTATATATATAGAGAGAGATAGATAGTAAACTAGACGTTAACGAGAGTGATAATATTTATTTACTTTCTATTGTGTATTTATAGTTTTTGAAATGAGTATTTATTATGAGTAAGTTTTCCTATCATTTTCTCTTCTTTTTTTTTTTTTTTTAAAAAAAAATCTTTTTATGTGAGTTGAAATCACGTAAAGTAAATGTGGGAATTTTACCACTAACGTGTTCCTCTCACTTTGTATATGCATGAACCCCAAGTGGTTTCTTACGCAGGAAGCCAAGAAGAAGAAAAGAAGCAGAATAGTTTCTCTTAATCATGTGAGATAAATATAATGGATCTTCCACCACAAAAATATTGTTTATCCCTCTGAATAATGAGTGGGTGATCATGGATTTTCCACCCCCATAAAATATGTACTACTCCCTTTATTCGGTGTTCAAATTTCGGGAGTTAATTTTATATACCATTTTATTTTTTTGAATCGTTAATTATTGTGACTTATAGTAGTATTTCTTACGTAATTTTTGAATATATAAATTTTATTTAAAAATTTTAATTTCTAAGTCTAAATTCATAATCAAAATTATTGAATTTGACTCTCGTAATTCGAATTGTGTCAAATAAACGGAGACGGAGGAAGTAGTTTATTTTTATCCAGTTTATAGTTTGGCATTCAACCAGGGTTTTTCTCCTTCTTATCCAATTCCTGTGCAACAAAAATCACTTAAAAGTTGAAGATGTGTAAGATCCTCCAATTGAAAGTGAATAGTATATATCCAATGTCGACATTCACTGTAATAGTTAACACTTAACAGCTGACTGGACATTTCAGATTAACCCACTAATAAGAGCTATTCGCCACATCCAATACTATCCAAAGGGTCGTTTTTCTGATTTTTTAACCTTTCAAGAAACCGAAGGGATTTTTTCCACATTTTCTCCAAGTACAATCTTTGATATGATCCCAGCAGATTAATTTGTTTCAATATTAAATGCGCTCCAAGATTAGCAGCACTAATTCTCATTGGCCGGTGGTCTTCACTATATTTTTAAAGGATAACCTCTTTCCCATAAAGTTACACCACCTTCCTTCCATTAGATCTCCAAAGTCTATCCATTATTTCCAACTATATATATAACCACCACCAACTGAAAATTTCTCATCATCAAAACATATCCACTTCAAAAAAATAGACCACCCATCAAAGAGAACACCAGGTTTTCCATGGACAATTCTCAAAATTATTCATCTATTAGTTGTGAAATACAAATAATAAGAGCAAGAAACGTTGAGCAAATAAGATACTTAGGAGGTAGTTTGTTTGTTAGATGCTATCTTTCCGCAGGAGAGAAGCAAAGAGTTCAAATAAAAACCCAAGAAATCCTATCAAAGTCTGACTTGTCATGGAACGAGTCTTTCTCATTGGATTGCTTGGGCATTGAAGAATCAATTAATCTGCTCAAGCAAGGAAGTGTAGTCTTCGAACTTCACTCAAGAAAAGTTGTGCCAGTTTTTGGTAAAGTTGGTGGCTCAAAAATCATGGGAAGGGCTGAAGTTCCATGGAAAAGTGTATTTGAGTCAAAAAATATGGAGATTGTGGAGTGGGCAATAATCATGGATTCAAACAAGAGAAATTTGCATGAAGATGTGAAGCCTATGGCAGTGCAAATATCAATGAAGGTTAGTGTAAAAGAGACAAAAAAAGTGAAGAGAAATGACAGTACCATGGATAAGTGTGGTTGCATGGACTATTGCGGGTGTAATAGTACCATATTCTGTGCTGAAGATAATGAAGTATTTGCACTTGGAGCTGCTCTAGATGCCTTGTAAGACAAAGACTGCAAAAAATCGCTAGTTACTAATGGGGTTTGAACCCTTCAACTCAATTGTGGAAGGCAGTAAATTCACTAAGTGAGCTATCCTTCAACCACACTAAGTTGCTTTAGGGTAGGTCCAGTAGGATAAATGTTTTTTTTTTCCGTGACTTAGGCTACTAGCTAGTTTCTTACACTAATAATGTTTCCTTGTTACCTTCTTTTGGTACGTTCATAGTTCTGTACATCACCTTCTTCCAAAATGAATCATGCCTAATGGCTTCTCTCTCTCTCTCTCTTTGTCATTTAGGCTCCTTCGTCAAATTCAGCCTTTTATGAAGATATTGCTTCATGAAAATCAAGTGCATAATTATGGATGATAGGAAATGAAAACAGACTGTCTGGAGTAACCGGTTCACCCAAGCTTAGATATAGATCTAATTTTGTCGGGCATAAAGATCCTGGAAACAAAATTTGGTATAACAAAAATTCTAGCTGAATCAAATACTACAATGATCAAAGAATAATCCTATACCATGGAACATAATTTATTCTTAAGCTCCACTTAAACAATGAAGAGACAGGCACTTTTATGATGACTTCTTAGTTATAGTATTGGTTGTTTGGTTCGGAAAGAAGTTACATATGCAAAGGATTAATAATGCAAAGCTTATTACTGTAGGAATTATTTAGGTAGTAATTATATATTTTTTTTGGTAAAATTTCATTCTATTTAACCAAAAAAGTTCAATACAATAGGAACTGCTGACTAATTCCTTTACTCTGCTTGACAACTAATTATTCAACTATAACCTATGGAAGGTTTTGATTTCAACTATAACCTATACACATCCTAATGCCTATACAATCTGGACCATAGACAAATAGACATTACATTTGACAGAACATATAAGCTAAACTTGTCTAAGGAATCCAGTTCAATGCCTCCAAATGCTTCTGTCAGCTGAGATATGAGTTTCCTCTCATGTGTATATGGCTTGCAAATTCTCTACACATTCTATCTGGGGACGAGCTACCACTCTGAAATCTGATTTTGTTCCTATCTCGCCATATGAGATATACCATCACCTCAAAGACAGCTGAGACAATTGTCCCAAATCCTTTATTTTTCCTACCACAGGTTGTCACCCATTCACCTCTTCCTGCCATGTATTATCTGCCTTGGACAACCAAGCCAATTCAGTAGCCTTTGCCAGATATTCTTCGTGTAGTCATAACCAAAGAATAAGTGTTCAAAGTGTTCATCATCCAGGCCACAGAATACACAACCTTGAGGAACGTGAATACCAATTTTCTGTAGCCTCTCAACAGTAGGTAGTCTACCCTGTACAGCCATAAGTTGAATTTGTGTCTAGGAAGTATATGTGCTTGTGAGATTAGGCTCTTCCAATGCACCTTTTGGATTTGAGGGATCTGCATCTAATATAACTTCTTGATGCTGAATCTTCCATCAGTACTTTGCAATTTCATCAGTCTTGAAGTCAGGTCACCTTGCATAGTAGGTAGATCAAGGATAAGCTTCCTGAGCTCAAGGATATGTAGTAATTATATTAGTAATATAGGAATTAATTGTTAAGTGTTGATACTATTCCGTCTTGAATAATTAAATGAGGAGATCACTGTTATACGAAAACAACTAAAGGCTTTTTGTCTTTAAATATATATAGTCCAATACTTGCAATGATAATATATGTATTGTTATTCCACGTTATATCACACATTAAATAATTGCTGATACGGTCATGCAACTATTAAAAATTGATATTGTATACGGTCAAGATCGTATGTCTTCGATCTATATGCTCGAGAGGTCGTCCAAAGTCCGAGTTCAGACAAGGTCGAGTTCGAGCTCGAGGGACCAGACCCGAATTCGAACGCAGAGCACGATACATACCAAGGTCGAGTATGCTCGACCCCGGAATAATACCGTTATGGACTTATAACAGAATGGGCTAGATTCCTGCCACGTCCCCAATATCACGGGGCAAATCCCAGAATAGGATTGTACTATTCCGTACCAGGCGGTTAGACAGTTGTACCAAGAATATTCCTTACTAAAAATAGAAATATACCTTATTTAGGGTTCTCCTATTATATAAAGGGCACCCCAATCATTTGTAACATCATCTCATCATTGGCAAGAATATACTATCCTACTTTTCTCTCTTAGTATTCATCAGATTGTCCTTTAGCTCTACTGCTCTTACTTTACTTTTCTTACTTAATTGTTCTTATTGCTCTGAACCTACCTCGAGTTCACGAAGCTCGAGGTCATCACTGTTGAGTAACTTTGATTTGATTCACTTGTTTCTTTCATTTCTACTTCATATTTCTTGATTATTAATTGGTATTGAATCTAATCACATATCTTTAAAACCACAAATCAAATTTAATTGTTACTCGTATTTTCGAGGTAAACGGTTTGGCGCCCATCGTGGGGCTAAAGATAATAGTGATTGTTTCTTTACTGATTCTCATTACACACGTTATCTTCACACTTTTTCTTGTCATGAATTTTTGATTCTCAGGCTGAATTATGTCTAGCTCACAAAATGCATCTATTCATGACAACGAAGGTCTTGGTGAAAACAACAATATAGGGGCCGGTGTACCACCAATAAACTCTGGGGAAGTGCCAAACATCGAACAAGTTGATGTTAGTTGACACGTTGCTCTAAATACGGATTTAGGCACAGACCTCGGAGGGAGTGTACGCAGGGAAGCCCGACCTGGTGGCCAAGGAACACAAGGAGTGGGTGATGGGGGAATCAACCTCCAAGTGATATTCGAGATGCTTCAAGCTCATCAGATCACCATTGCTCAACTTCAAAGTCAAAATAAGACTCCGAGTGTAGCTGAACATGAAAACAATCGACGTGCTGAGCCAGCACCAGAAAGGTCCAATGGAAACGACCCGGGGGCTAACCCCACCATTATGAGGATACTCGAGGATCTCACCAAGAGGATCGAGTCTAGAGAAAAGAAGATTGAAGACAATGACAAAAAGGTGGAAATTTATAATTCCCGTGTTGACTAAATACCGGGAGCACCTCCAATTTTGAAAGGATTAGATGCCAAAAAGTTCATACAAAAACCATTCCCTCAAAGTGCGGCTCTGATGCCTATTCATAAGAAGTTTCGCACTCCCGATATACCCAAATATAACGGGACAACCGACCCTAATGAGCATATTACTTCATACACTTGCGGGATCAAAGGAAATGATTTGAATGACGCCGAGATTGAATCAGCCTTGTTGAAAAAATTCGGAGAAACATTGTCGAAAGGAGCCATAATTTGGTATCACAACTTACCTCCTAACTTTATTGACTCATTTGCTATGTTAGCAGATGCCTTCGTGAAGGCACACGCTGGGGCCATAAAGGTGGCCAAGAGGAAATCGGACGTCTTCAAGATAAAACAAAGGAACGACGAGATGTTGAGGGAGTTCGTGTCCAGGTTTCAGATGGAAATAATGGAATTACCGCCGGTCTCCGATGACTGGGCAGTACAGGCCTTTATGTAGGGTTTGAACGAACGGAGCTCGGTTGCATCTCGACAATTAAAGCAGAACTTGATCGAGTATCCAACTGTGATGTGGTCAGATGTGCACAATCGTTATCAATCAAAAATCAGGGTTGATGATGACTAGTTGGGAGCCTGCTCAGGTTCAGTTCATCCTAACAGGTTCGAGGCCAAGCCCCAGAGGGATACGAATAGAGAAATCGAGATCGAACAGGGAATGGTATCAGGCGTATGTCGATCGAAGGAACAACGGTTCAGGTCAGAATGCTCCTCGGAACGATCGGAGAGACGATCGGGGTCAAAATTCTCGGGGACTCATGAGTAAAAGCGGATTCGATAAGCATACCGATCCCGCAGAGGCACCTCGATTATCGGAGTACAACTTCAGCATAGATGCATCAGGGATTGTGTCAGCAATTGGGAGAATCAAAGACACCAAGTGGCCCAGGCCAATACAGACCGATCCTTCTCAAAGAAACCCGAACTTGATGTGCAAGTATCATGGCACACATGGTCATAGGACAGAAGATTGCAGATAGCTTAGGGAAGAAGTGGCTCGGTTGTTCAACGAGGGTCACCTTCGAGAATTCCTCAGTGATCGACCCAAAAACCACTTCAGGAAGAGAGATGCAAGGAAAAATGAGCAAGAAGAACCACAACATGTAATCCACATGATCATTGGCGGAGTCGATGTCCCTCAACGACCTGTGTTCAAACGCACCAAGGTATCAATCACTAGAGAAAAGTGGACTCGGAGCTATGTGCCTGAGGACACCTTATCATTCTGTGACGAGGAAACATAAGGCATATCTCAGCCTCATAACGACGCCCTGGTAATCTCTATCCATTTAAGTAAAATTCAAGTTAAACGTGTTTTAGGGGATCCAGGTAGCTTAGGGAACATTATCAGATCGAGGGACGTGGAGCAACTCGGCCTACAAGATCAGATTGTACCTGCATTCCGGGTCCTAAATAGCTTCAACGTGGAGAGTGAAACACCAAAGGGAGAGATTATCTTGTCAATAAACGTCGCCAGGACCATACAAGACACTAAGTTCCATGTCATCGAAGGCGGCATGAGGTATAATGCACTCCTCGAGAGACCATGGATACACAACATGAGGGCAGTGCCTTTAACCTTTCATCGGATGATGAAGTTCCCAATAGAATAAGGAGTGAAAATAGTCTACGGAGAGCAACATGCTGCAAAAGAGATGTTTGCAATCGAGGAAGTGGTGCAGATAAAGCCTTTGACCTCAGAGAAAACGAGCACCAAAGGAAAGCAGGCGGCTAAATAGCAATCACAGCCCCCAACCTTGATGGAATCGGAGCAACAGGTAGTCGAAGATGAGAGGAGGATTTCCTTACTCCTCAATCTCCTGTGAAATGTTCTCTCAGGTTTAGGATCAAAGCCTTCAAGTCGGTCCTGGCTTCTGACCCTATGCATTCAATCAAAATTCCTGAGATTTGAGCAACAATCAAGTAACGTTAGACTAGACAAAATAAGCAATTAAAGCAAAAACTAGCAAGTAGCTAATATTCAAGTCCCCGGCAACGGCGCCAAAAACTTGTTGCTCCCAAACGCACACGCAAGTATACGTGGTCGACAAGTAATATAATGATATGTTGAGTGTCAAACCCACAGAGACTTGTATAAACTACTCACTAAATCACTAAACTTGCTATTCAATCTAGCTAAAGGAAAAATCCAATAATATGATTATACTATGCTACGATTCTAAGTAC